CGATTTCTCATTTTCGGCTTCCTCTGTGGAAGGTTGATTCTTTTCATTTTAATCTGTTTATTAGAAATGTCAAACAGTAAAACAGTATCCACTAACTGGATAACGTTTTGGACACAGTTTACTGTGTTTCAAAGATTTTGAGTTACCTAATGTAAATATGGACAATAAATTGTGTCTGAAACGTTATCCAGTAAATGTGTAGGTGTGTGTGTGTGTGACATTTTTAATAAACAGACTAAAGTGGAATTACAATCTACCACAGTGCCCAAGTTTTACTCCTATTTTGATTGTTTTCGTTGATATTTGTGTAGAATTAGTATCGTTCGACCCAAGAAATGAATGATATTGACGATCAAGTATATATCATGTGACAAGCTTCTTTTAGTACAAACTTAACCTTGTATTGTATGAAGGCTTAAGTCGAATGTTATCAATCTAAAAAAGTAATTGATAATGATTTTACCTACTGTGTGATAATACTGAAAGTTTTGTGATCAAATATTAAAGTTTAGAGAATACCAAACAAGAATCATCCTAATCTGGAGCTAAAAATCTTCACTACCAGTGTAGAAATACGTTCTTCTTGTGTAAGCACAAATATGATAAACCACAATTACCTTAATTTAACTCACTTCTGCTTATGATCGACAGGTAGAAAACATGCAGAGAAAGAAGAGGCTGTTTAATTCTCTAAAAATACCTTGAAAATGTCAATAGATGTTTTATATGAGAGGGGAGGTGATGAGTTGTTTTTCATTTTTATTTTGTTTAACACTTATATACTGATTCATATCTCGCCTATATCATGGATTGTAGGTCTAAACATAATAAATGGTTAGTAAAAATATGATCTTATTACATTTATAGTTGTTTTATACTTTCCTTCATATCCTTCTGAATTGTATACCTGTGGTGTTCAACATTTCCTGTGTAGTTATCTCTTCAGTGGATTATATCTCTTTTCTTTTCTGGATAGACTTTATTTTAGAAAATTTATTTTCGATTATATCACTTTATATGCCTAATCATTACGCAAAACATTTTAATGTATACGTTATCCAATTGAACATTATTAAAATGTAGATTATTGGATTTATGTATACCCCCAAGGATTTAATGACCTTTTAATTTCTGCCACATAACTTCTTTAGTTGGTTCGATTTTTTGATTCTGTGCGTTTTCCAACTTATTATCATTCTATTTGCGCTTTTACTCCCCTTTATATATATGCATGCTTCTAAAAGATATCTTTGTGTGTATTCGTAAAATAAATTTGTAGCTCAAGATGTGAATGATGAAGAACTTCGTTATAAAGTTAGTGATGTGAAGTGATAAGCGGTCTTTAATGAAATATCAACCTCTAATGGCGTATTATTTGCGCTCAATTACACATGATTATTTCCACACTCGTTACATAGAGTAATTTCTCACTTAGTGTACAGAACATACATTAAATGACTATATATACTGGATGTTGATTGATGGTAAAATTAAAATCGGGGCCCGTGGAAGGATTCGAACCAGCAATTTCTGCGTTATCTGCTTGGTGCTCTACTAACTGAGCTACGAGACCAGACTGTACTATTTTCACTTCGATCAGTACAGATTTTGCTCGACTACCATGTGAATTTGTTTGCTAAACCACGGCTGTCTCAGATATTCAAACTGATAATCAGTATGATGCTGCTTCTCTCTTATTCAGGTTGATTTAGATTGGAATGAAAAGTCTTTATTGGACAGCCAGTGTAAATACAATGAACGGACAATAACATATCACAAATTCGTATGGCATTTGGGCGAATTCTTTGATGATTGAAGTTAAATTAAAATCTGATCTGCTACCGGCTTTCACAGCTCAGTTGGTTGAATATCGAGCCGGTAACGCGTAGTTCGTTAGTTTGAATCCTGCCATGGTCCAAATTTTCATCTTACCTTCTATCATCACTCAGCATCAATGCATATCTATGAAACTACGACTATCCCATATAGTCAAGCTGATATAAGCGACTATTGACAAATTTTTTATGGTGAAAATGATATATAGCAGTAAGGAAAGTACAATATGTCAGCATCAGGAAGTCTAGAAATTACCCTTCTTACCTGGATTATAAACTCAACTATTTTTATTTTTAAGCTTATTACTTCTAAGTTGTTGTTATTAATTATTAATACTTTTAGTATGAAGATTGACATTATTATTATCTGCTTTCATTCAGTCTTTCTTTAGATTATTTATTTCAAAGTACTAGTTTGAATTTCATGATAACAGCTTGAGCGTTTTGGTCTTGCAGGTTCATTTATTCACTGAGCATCTTTGGTTGATTATTCTGATATGATGGAATGTACAAGGAAGAATGTTTACGTTAAGGATATTAGTAGTTACATAAAGTGGAAATTACTACAACTGAGTTAGTGAAGTTGTTTGTTATACTAAATCAAAATTGCCAGTTTGAATGCCCCATCCTGAACATTTCTAAGGGGACTAAATCATTGAATTACAACTTCAGCGTCGTATGGGAATGCAAATTTAATGATCACAAAGGTTAAGATCAGTGATTGAGGGAGTTGAATGGCTTGGTGGCACAAATTTCATCGCTACACCTTGCTTAGACAGTCGGATACCTTATATTTATGACAGGAGGGGGGGGGTATTCTTCACGGGTTAGCATCAGTTAGAGGACCAATGAAAATTTGAGAGCGCTGGACAACTGTTTTGTCCTGGTACAGGAATCCTCAGCAGCATACAGCACGTGTGTGTATTGCTGAGGAGTCACATACTAGGACGAAACAGCTGTCCAGTGCTCTCATATCTTCAACTTTTTCTCCAACTGATGTCGATCGGTGATGCATAGTAACTTGAAATAAATAAAAATCCCTACAAGCCTTAAACTAAATTGTAAATATGACTCTTTTCTTAAGGATTTTTGTGCTGCTTTCTCCTCGTTTTTACTCTAATCCAGGTTAAACCAATGAAATAATGTACTGGATTCCTTGTCTTTACACGCAATTATTTAATCTTTCCAGTGTTGAACCCTTAACATTCTGTCTAAGCGATTTCTTTGTGGTGTTACAGGTTCCTGTTCTGTGCATTTTTACTAGTATTTGGTTTGATCTCTTTATTAACTTCTATTTTCTCTTATCATTTGTTTTATCATTATTTGCCAGCTCATTTTACTCCTTTTACTCTCTTTTGCTTGTCATATAGACTATCCCTCGATATCAAGCATTAGGTTTTAGTGTATGATAAATAACTTTCTAATGACAAGTTTGCACACAATATTAGATCATTGTGCATGAAATAAAGATCACCTATATCTACAGGTAGAGTAAATCTTGCTTTTGATCATGGATTGAAATTATGACTAGTAATTTTGCTCGAATTATTTACGAAATGAAGAACTTATTATTGTATGTAAACTTAACGTTTATAATAAGTTAATCCATTCCATACTGCACAAACGTTCTGTTGATATATTAATTTTTAATACTTATTCGTGTGTTTGGTTACTCTGATGTCTTTGAGAGAACACGTCAAAATATTGATTTTGTCAACTAATACGAAGTGTGAAATTACCTAATTACCTATTAAAACTAATTATTTCGCAAATATGAAGTTAATAATTATTGAATTTGGAGGTGTGCAGGAAGTTATTTATTGATTTCAGATTGGTATTCATCATGAATTGACGTCAGTTGAAGGAACATTAGAAACTTGAGAACACTGGACACCTGTTTCATCCTAGTACAAGACACTTCAGTGGTGCATACCCCATGACCCAGCTATGGATCGAACCCAAAACCTTTAATTTATACGGCCACTGCGTTAGGACCCAGTGATCATTTTCCTGCTTTTATCAACTCACGAATAACCTTAGCCTCCATTCAATACATGGGTTTAGTCCTTGATGGGGTCATAGGTGGTCACTGATAAGGAGTTCTATACCACAATGAAATAGACGACAAAGGCTCATATAATCAGTGTTTCTTAGTTGGTAGTTGTCTTATGTATTCTGTTGAACATATTGTTAATTATTTTTTAAATTTGTAGAAGAAAATTCCTATGTTTCTCCGCTTCTAGTCAACAAATTATTCTGTTGCCCTTTACTCATAGAATTTTCTTTTCTTAACATTGAAAAATTTCGTAGACCTTTTTTTCCCTTCACTGAGAAACACAAGGCTAAAAAGAATTAACCATAAAATAACAATAAAATGTTGGTTAAAGAAAGAACACTTTTCATTTGAATTTCTTTAGTTTAATGATAAACTCTGGTTATTGAAAAAAAAAGGTATATAGATAGGATAGCTTCATATGCTGTAACAAAGTTGGCAAATTTTGTAAGCAATAGAATAATATATTCAAAATAGAAATTAGTTTTAGAGATTGTACGAAGTGATAAAATAGGCCAATTTTTAATATATTCGAGTAGCTGATGCTTTTAGGTGGTAAACTTGCATATGTTTGCGGTAGTTCTTGTTGGCTGTTTTTAAAAAATATAGAATACTTATAACATCGGGGGATGAAAACCGTTCGCTTTAACTTAATCTATTACATTTTCCAAGTCAGAAAGTTCCATGTACTTATTATTTGCAGAAATCTATTTAATGCGTTCTTTCTTACTCTTATATTAAAATAACCATTCAGTGTAGCCAAGGGTAAATTTTTTCGTTGAAATTTTTCTGTTACCAGGGCGAATTCATCTTGATTGCTGAATACTTTTTATGATAGTTTCTACACTTCATGGTTTTATTTCGCTACAAGAATATATCGTTCTTATGTGAATAATACCAAGCTTTTATTGGTTGCAATTTTCTATTGGTTATTTTCTGGCCAATAAAAATTTCTTATTAGAGCGTATTTATTACATGTAATATTAACTGGATGTAAATTAAAACAACAAAACTATCAATTTTCGGTCTTTTTAATCCTAGCCAATATTGAATAGTTCAATGATGTACCATAAAATTTACCAGTTGTTTTATTGTTAATTCTTTCTATATAGTTGATACAAATCGACTAGTATACAGTCTTCTTGACGCTCATGATGCTAGTTTCAGTATTGAATCACATACTGGCTTATTGAGAATTAGCCGACCTTTGGATCGTGAAGTGAAAAGTACTCATACATTAACTGTTTTAGTAACAGACGGATCTACTCAACATTCTGGTGCAGGTAATCAATCTGTTTCATTTACATCGAGTGCAACATTCACTATAAAATTATTGGATGTTAATGATTCTCCTCCTCAATTTATCAACACATCTGCACATCGTATAAAAATATCAGAACTGGCGCATATAGGTGAAAGGCTAACTCGCCTAAAGGCGATTAGCCAAGATGAAGGTGATAATGCAGTAATACATTATCGTTTACTTACTAAACAACCTGAATTTCGCTTGAATGAAACTACTGGTGAGTCATTATATTATTGAAATTAAACTGAAATATTTTACTATTTTTGAATTTTCCCATTGTTCGATTATGGATAATTTTAAACGTGTAAACTAGTGTCATTACAGCTTTCATTTCTGTGTTTACACTGTTGTAGGATTCTTGTGGTCATTTATAGAGAATTTTAACGATTCTCAGGGCCAATACTAGTGTGACATAACTGTTCAGCCAGGTTTGAACAAAAGAAACGTCCAGGATGGATAGCAATTGCTGTTAAGTGACTGATGTTTAGGCTGTTCGAAGTTTCAGATAAACACTAGAAAGGACTAAAATGTTAACTGAAATTCTTTTCAAATGACTTATTGTATTCTGGTCATTTTGAAAATTATTCAAAAATTGGATTTTTAATTTCAGGGGTTTCTCATCAAATCTCTACATCGTTCTTTGTTCCCCAGTAGTACCATTTTTAATGTATTCCTAAGAGTTATTACATCTTTGAATGATTCCCACGAAATACAGTTTCTAAACTTTGAGTTGGAATTAAGATGTTTCCTGGGTCATCAAGCCGACCGGAAATCTCACGTTTAGAAAGTTTTTGTGCATAAAATCACACCAGATTATGCATTTCACAGGCATATCACACAACTTTTTTTCTTTTGACTCACTGCAGTACACAAGAAATTATTGATTAGTTGCCTTCTTGTATGCAAATTAAAGCAGAGACCATCTAGGTGTTCCTGCAAGATAGTGAAAAATTAGCAAATGACAATTCAGCTAAGAATATTTTTTTTTTCGACGAATTATTTTCAAAAGCTGTACATCGTAATCATAGTTGCGACAAAATATATATTCACCAATAGCTAATGATTTAGTGTGAAGTCATCAGAAACGGTCAGTGAAGTTATGAGATAATGCCTAGAAGGTCAATTCAGGGTCAACGAAAATTGCTTCAATAAATATACAGATAGTCAACAAAGAAATGAATGAACTATCTTCGAAAGATTACGACCACGTTAGAATTAGAGGTTGGATATATATGTCTCTTTTGAACGCAATGATCAGTCTTGTATCGCTGGATTCCCAAAGCCTCTGCTGTGTTGAAGTGGTGTATACACATTTCCTTCGAAATGTCTGGTTCTACTTTATAAATGACTTCGAAAGAAGACTTCTATAGAAATGTGACCAAAGTTAATCAAATACTCAAGAATCGAGGTGTTGATGGGTTTACACTCTTTTTAGACAACTATGGAGGATAGTATTCGGAGATGCCTTTAGATAGAACATGGTTTGTGTTTGCCTACCAATTCACCTGCTCTCGTGGGGCTGCTTATGTACGTCGAATAAGGAGGGTGGGTGTCTGCCACATCAAAACAGCAGAAGCATTGGCTACCTAGCGGTACGACCCTGATCTTTGTGTTCAAAAGTGGCTTGATTTTTTGATTTAGTGTATTTCATGTGTTAGTTAGTTGACTTGAAAACAATCAGGGTTTGAATCTTTCTGAAAATGGGTTTCACCCGAATAAAAACTTTTTGGTGATATTTTACAAAATAGGTTTCATACAAATTCTTTATGGTGGCTTGTTAGCCAGACCTATATTCATCTCATCCAGTGTGCGATCTGTTTTCACCCTTCATCTTTCACACCATAGTTTGCATTTCTAGATATATGTAAGATTGTTTGTTTTTTCGAAACCTATCACATTAATGTTAATTCATTCTCTTTATTTGTCTGAAATTCTTTGATATGTTATCAGACTGTTAATTGGAAACTTCTCCACTTACATACACTTTTATTCGGTTTCTCTGTTTGTACTTACTATTGAGAAGCATTGACAACTGTTGTAGCCTAATGTTGTATACGATTACCTATCTGTTTATTCTTTCGTCTGATTATTATACGATTCATTGGGTAACGAAACGAACGTTTGTTTTTAGTTTCAGTGTTACTCTTGTATTACTTTTGTGCTATGTAATATGTTAACGCTTGCTGAAACCATCGAAATAGCCCCACTGGGATTTGAAAAGTTAACAACAGAGTGCAGCGAATGAAATGCTCAAGTTAGTATTCATCACGGAATGGCATCAGTTGGAGAACTACTACGAACCTAACAGCACTGGACGACTGTCCCATCCTAGTACGGGACTCCTCAGCACTCGTCACCCATAGCCCCTCTTGGGGGTCAAACACAGGACCTTCAGATCCCACGGCGAGCATGTTGCTGTTGAGAAAATAGGTCGCGATGGTTCACACTTTACTACTTCTCTCAACACGCGATATAGCGCAACCTTCATACACCTCTACCGTTGAGTGTTTGGTCTCATGTCAAACTTGCCTTGATCTACCGATGATAACTTTTCATTAGAACCATGGGAAATGTTACCTCGAAGCAAGTCACTATTGAGCACTGGACAGTGATTCCATTTGGCGGTTTGTGATTTGTTGATTTCAAGCTGAAATTTTTTTATCTATGAATCCTGAAACTTCCAGTCTTAGTTGAAAGATACCTTTATAAAACGGCACATTATGCTTACTGATTGGATCGTATTTACTAGTCGTTGGATACCGAAGTAGTTCTGATACAAATTCGAAAACTCTAATTCTATGAATTTACGACTGTAAGTGCTTATTCGTTGTTGTTACTGCTATTGTTTGTTCCAATTATGAATTTTCACGTTGTGTTCAACGACAGTTAGAAGTTAACCAGTTTATGTTCTAGTCGATGAGCTTGTACGCTGTCGTGTCAAATAATTTACACCACCGGAGAATGCGCACATTGTGCGATAAACTGCTAATGAATTCTTGAAATAGCTACTTTACAAAGAAAATAACCCATGGCTTTCAGTGTATCCCGAGTAATTTTTGGTTAATAATGTTTAATTGCTACTAATTGTTCCTGATTGATCGTTTAATCTCCTAATTTCTTTGTCTGTTATCGATGTTATCATTTGCATGCCGTTCTGCAAAAAACAGAATGTTTTGTTTGTATTACTAATGAGTGACAAATATTTGATAAGCTGCATATTATTTGTTTATGTTTCATTCACTCATTCATTCATCATATAAACCACTTTTCTTTATGTTCTCATTCTGAGGCAGCAATTATGTAGCTAACTAGGTAAAAGGCGTTGAGGTTTGATCTAATGTTGGTGGTATTTTAGTAATCTTGGATGCGTGTTGTTTGTCTGCATCTTGTATGGTTTTGGTGATTATATAAACAAGGTCTTATACATCTTGTTCCTAACTCTTTTCTTTCTCTGGTTGCTTCCTTTTCCTTAGACGTTTCTTTCGTTTGTTCACAACTAAAAAGGTACGATAAAGCGGTCAAGGTAACTGGCAGTATTATTAGTTGACGGGGGTGGGGGGGGGGGAGTGTAGTGGGTGAGAAAGAGCGCTTGTAAAAACAGTCAAACGAAAACATACCTTGATTAAGAATACGTTCCAAATGTAAAGTTACCTATTTTTCCTTCAGCTTCATCTAACAGTTTGAAAAAAAGCTGAATCTGATGGTCATTTATTATGAAGCGGCTAGTTGACCTTTCAGTTACTTCACGTACTCAGATTATAGTGTTGACTATTATTTTAGTATCGATGGATAACTATTCGCATTGCCTTCAAAATGCTTACACATGTACTTAATTAACTGGTACATATATGCATAAGTAAGCATACACATGAACACTCATACGATGATTCAAATACGCATTTATATATGAAGTACGTTTCTGGAGCCCAGTCATTTTTCTACTAAAAAGTAGTTTTTTCATTCTTTTGCTATCGGCTTCCTTCTTAAAACTTTGCTTGTTTAAAAACGGATTCTATGTGAAGTGAAGAGAAATAGGATTTAGTAGCTACATATCGATTTGTTGTGCACCAACCTGTGAGCCACATCATTTTTTAAAAGCTTAACAATAGAATTCAGTCACTTGGATATTGATAAATAATATTCAAGTCTGCGGGTTAGTATTAAAAAAATGAGGTTTATAATCCCCTGGGTCACACTGGACGTTGATTTTTTAAGGATATTTTCTGTAAACAAAACATGTTTTTCTATTCATGTGTGGTTTAGTTAAGACTGCGGATCTATAGCTTAATGATCTGAATAGTAGATTTATAATTAGGTTACATGGGTGGATACAATCGGCAGGAAACCGTGGATTTAAGTTTCGTGTTTTTTGGCGCTCGTCAGCAGGGTGTATTTACAATCACAAGAGAACTGATGTCCCTTGAGACATTCGAATCCCTGTCACCTAATGCTACAGTCATTGATATTGTCACCTCCTGCAGGACTGGATTAGATAAGTCGATTGGTTACTGAAGTGTAACTGATTTCATGTTCTGTAGTCCTGTGTGCTGACTGCATTTTACTGATCATTTTCGCGATTTGATTACCAGGCTATTACACTTAGTATTTAGTGCGCTTTGATTGATGTTGGTTGAAGGTTTTTATTCATTTGACTCATTCTCATTCAAGTATTCACAACTATACTGATTAGCACACAATAAATTCTTTTAAACATGAGCTGCTGCCTGACAACTAACGACCCCTTTTTATCGGGACAGAAGTTTTCTGTAATGGTTTGCAGTATGTTGAAAGTCAATTTTACCAATTACTTTCGGTTATCATGTCTCCCCCAAGATATTAACAGTTTCTAAAAGTTAAGTACAGCAAACAGTTCCCTCATTTTTTCGCCACTAATTTCGCAGAAAAACTACTAAGTATAAACAGACTGGATTAGCAAGTAGTAGTTACCAGAAGTCGCACACTCAAATTCATACAGGAAGAATAAGGATAGGAATTCTAGTGTTTTTGCATCTAAGTAATGGAATAATCAGACAGAAAAATGAATCTGGCAGCTGTTAAAGTCCATGGAACCTCTAAAATTCATTGGTAAGTACCTAGAAACCCATATTTTATAAGAATACAATACAGTATGGTTTCATTGACTAATTTGACTGTCGTTTATGCTGAGGAATCAATGGAAATATAATTAGTATCAAATCACCTGTTTATAGGTTACAT